TCTGGCCCAGCTCTGGGGGTCAAACAACTGTTTGGCCGGGCGGGCCGGCCCTGTTCGAACGACCATCTTTGTGCTTTTCACCAAAATACCACCAAAATGGCCAAAAATGGGCCTAATTTTGAGGGTATTTTGGTTATTTTTCTAGGGGGTTGCCTCTATAAATAGAGGGAGTTTTTATTTATTTTTCTCATCCAAAACTTACCGACTTCTCTCTAATACTCTCGAATATTTTCTTATTCTCGTTTTTGCTCTCTAATTATTTAATCAGATGGCTTCCTCCTCTAATTATGAAGGGCAAATCCCAACTCTCGATGTTAAAACGAGTCCTAATACTCCTACTACAGGAGATACAATTACAACTCCTACCGATATTGATCACGAATCCGGTGGCGATGATTCTGCACCTAGAGCTCCTAAAAGACCGAGATTCGATGTGTGGAACTTCTTCGAGAAGATAGAAGTCACCAGGGATCAACACAGTAGGCTTTTCATCCAGAAAGCTAAGTGTGCATTGTGCGGCCATATTTTCTAAGCTCATCATAAAAGCGGCACCAAACGCCATTTAGAAAAGCACAACAGAAGTCAGGCAACGCCTCAATGCGATATCCGACAATCTTTACTCTCCCAATCATCATCCTCTAGTAGTCTCGGTAGTTGGAACTATGACGCAATTAAAGTCAGGAAATGCGTCATCAGGTTTATTGTTCTTAAAAACATTTCTTTTAAATTAATAGAAGATGATAAATTTGACGATATGATTACATATGGTTTTTATCTCGAATTTAAAAAAATTTCTCGTTAATCTTATCAACGTGATATTTTGAAATATTATCACGAGGAACAAATAAAAATAGTTTCTTATTTTTAAAATTTAAACTGTAAATTTTCTTAACTTCTGATATTTGGACATCTAGAGCACAAACTGGTTATTTATATATCACATCACATTGGATTGATGATAATTGGCAAATATTTAAAAGAATTATTTCTTTTATTGCATTTGAAGATTCACATAATGGTATTAGTATTGCAAATTTAATAATAGAAGAACTTATAAAATTAAAAATTTTAGAAAAAATATTTTCTCTTTCACTAGATATGTAAGTAATAATAATGTAGTTGTTCATCATATCAAATTATCTTTGCTATTGCCATGTCATGGTGATATTTTTCATATTAGATGTATGTGTCATATTTTAAATTTAATTATTTTTGCTATTGCCATGTCATGGTGATATTTTTCATATTAGATGTATGTGTCATATTTTAAATTTAATTATTCAAAGTGTATTTGGTGAAATTAATTTTTCATATTAGATGTATGTGTCATATTTTAAATTTAATTATTCAAAGTGTATTTGGTGAAATTAAATTCATGATAGAAAATGTTAAGACAATAGCTTATGCTCATAATACTTCTGAACAAAGACTTAAAAAATAAAAACAATTGTGTAAATTTTTTTTAAACCCATATTAATTCCAAAAGATGTTGACCATAGGTAGAATTCTACCTATGCAATATTAAATATAGCAATAGAGTATAAAAAAATTATAAATAATTTTATTATTTTCTATGCTTCTAGTTCTAGCTCTGGTAATATATATGGAATAACTGAGGATGAATGGTTATATATAGTGTAAAAGAGATGTTACAAGTTTTTTATGATGCTACTATGTTATTATTTGGTTGTTATTATCCAACTATTATTCAAGCTGCTTTACAAGTTTTAAATATTCAAACTTTTTTTGAAATTATTTTGGAAATATGATTTTTCAAATGGAAAGTAAATTTAATAAGTATTTTAGGCCTATTTCTATTATTTTTGGTTTGAGGGTTCTTATTGATCTATGTTTGAAGGATGTTAGCCTAAAACTTGTTAAATTCTTTGTATGATAACATGGTAATAGATATTGATGATGGTCAAACTATTACTGTTCTTACTCATCATAATACTATTAGAACTTATTTTTAAAGATTATATGATGAGTATGCAGTTAGATATGGTGTAAGTACATATTGTTGGCCTTCTTGTTTTGATGATGTTTAACAAACAATTTATTACTAATGTTGTTTGTCTAGTGT